CGGGCCCTTTTAAATTGCAGCCAAAGCCCTGGGTGGCAGAGGCCAGGCAGCACAGATGGGCTGGCTGGGGGAGGCTGATCCCCAGCCCCGCCCCTTCCCGGGCCCCCATACCGGTAAGAATTTATTATTACTTTCACCTTTGGAGAATACTAGGACATGCATCATCATCCCCCAGACATGAATCATCAGCCTCTGGAAGGTATCTGGGGCATTCTGTAGACCGAAAGGCATCCGATTACATTTGTAACCCTTCTGCCAGGCCAAGTTGATAGCAGCAAGGGCCAGGTTCAGTACACAGGGGTTCCCTCTCATCAAAGCAAATGCAAAACTGGCTCGAGCCCCACCCAGTGACCTGAGAAAATCTTACACACCCCCTGGGCGCCTCAAAGAGGCAATACTTCCCCTCTCGCAAGCACAGAGTCTCGGTGTAGCAGAGAATCTTTAACAACATGAGGTAAACGACATCAGCATTAAATTGGGGAAACACCACAACTAGTGTTCATTAACCAAACCATGAGCAAAGACCCACCCCAGCAAATTGGGCCACATCCTTTCCCTCGGGTTCTTGAGTCCCAGAACCCAAACGTCTCTTGAGTCCAGCAATCCAAAAATCACCCAAAGTCCAAAATGTCCAGCCCCAGAGTTCAAAAGTTCATCTGCAGAGTATTACTCCCCTGTCTGGGTAAAATTGAGCCTGTGTGGGGGGGAAAGAGGTAAGGGGCACCTTACATGACCTGAAGCTGACTGCCCTACAGCTCCACAGGGCTCCGCTTCGCCGTCTCACGAACGGCTCCGCCAGCCGTCTCACGAATGACTCCGCCAGCCTATCCACGAACAGCACCACTGCACTCTAGATCTTCAGGCTCCCCACTACTTGACACAGTGCTCAGTGATTTCAGCTCTTAGTAATTTTAGCTCTTTAGTGATTTCAGCATTTCTCTCTCCCGGATGCCCTGCATGAACTGCTGTGTCAACTTATAACAGGGAAAGGATGGCCCTCTCGGAGCTTCTCCTCTACTACCCTTAGTAGGGCCTCTAACTTGATGGCATAGGATGAAGCTGTCTCTCTAGGGCATTGGCGTCTCTCATGAAAGTCTGCCATGGGGTCCAGCAATAAATGGCAGTCACTGTACTCTGCTCTAAGCTCTTCAATAGCTTGGGCTGGAAACTTCGCCTGAGGTGGCAAGTTAAGGACTAATTTACGCCCCCCCCCCCCCACACACACACACACCTCAGGTATTTGACGAGGGTGGGGAACCTCAAAGGCTCAGGAATGCCAGTGGCTGCTAGCAGGTACTGGATACCTTTTATCCAGTCCTCTATGTCTACCCTGCAGTCTGCACCACCCCTGAACACAGGAACCCCACGGATTTGATGCTGTGCAGGGAGGTATGGCATTACTGTATTCCTCCCCAAAATTTCCCCCCCAGTACCTTCACCCTTAGTAGCAGGAGGGTCCTGGTTAAACACCCATTGGGGGTCTCAATTTTCACTGACACCAAACCAGGGTCAGGCCAACTTCCCATGGCTCCAAACTGTGAATCCATGCTGCCCTGGTTCTCTTCTGTGGCAGCTTCCCTACTGTGTGCAAAAAATTAAACTTCCCCTATCCGAGTCACAGCACCAATAACTAAGAAAATGTAGCCCACCCCCTGAGGTTGTTTAGGATAAGGGAAGCCTGCCTTGCAACTTTAGGGACAACTCTGGAAAACTGGGCCTGAGGCTCCTTTGTGTAATCTGCATTGTGTGTCAGTGTGTGTTCACCTCAGACCAGACCCACTCAGACAAACCACCAGACACAAGGCGTCATTCTGTAAAGCAGGTTCTCAACCAGTGGTCTGGGGCCCCTAGGGGGCCTCGAGCAGGTTTCAGGCCTCCAAACAGGGCCAGCATTAGACTCGCTGGGGCCCAGAGCAGAAAGCCGAAGCCCCATCCCATGGGCCTAAAACCCAGGTCCCTGAGCCCCTCCACCTGGGGCTGAAGCCTGAGCAGTGTAGCTTCATGGGGGCCCCCTGTGGTGTGGGGCCCCAGACAATTGCCCTACTTCCTGCCCCCTAATGCTGGCCCTGGCTTTTATATGCAGAAAACCAGTTATTGTGGCACAGGTGGGCCGTGGAGTTTTTATACCATGTTGGGGGGGCCTCAGAAAGAAAAAAGGTTGAGAACCTCTGCTGTAAAGAACATAGAACAGGATTACAGTCCAGCAGCCTCCACTCTGCTTGCCTGCTATGTGCTCCCAGCCCAGTCAGTCCTGAGACCTCCTCCTGGGAGAGCAGAGGGTACATTGTACAATTCAACCCCCTTACAGACAAGTTCTAACTCCCACAATAACTAAACTCCAAAACAAACAAGCCCATGTTCTTCTTTTGTGTCATTTGAACTCCTCTCAGGGTGCTTTCTAAGCCCTTTTTGGTCCTACCTGTAAAGAACATAGAACAGGATTACAGTCCAGCAGCCTCCTCCCTGCTTGCCTGCTACCTGCTCCCAGCTCAGTCAGTGATGAGACCTCCTGGGGGTGGGGGGGAGGGCACAGGGTACATCTTGGCAGGAAGTTCTCCCAACATGCTACAGTTTGTAGTCCACAACTTGTAGTTACCAGGGCAGCTGTTGAAGCACACTGGACCTTGGGCTACGCCAATAAATAAATAAAAGATTGCTTGATGTGCATCATTGCGTAGGGACCACAAGTCTGAAATGAACAGCCTGAGTTTGTAAAGATAATGGCTCATTCACAATTGAGCTGAAGGAACAACAACAGGAATAGGAATCTTTAAAGATGACCTGCAAAAGGGGAAAAATGGGTTGGTACCATTTTCACTTCTTTGTGATGAATAAAAAAAGACTGGAAAGCTATTTTTTCTCCTTTCGAAAAAAAAATAGAAAAATCATATCTTGTTTTCATTGTTTTCCTGGAAGAGTCTATAGAAGACCAGAGAGCAAGTATAATTATACTAAGGATGTGAAAACCAATTAACAAAGATAAGTGATTGTTATTAAGACCACTAAAAACCTTGGGTTTTGTGTCTTTTTACTTAAAAGCTAGTTAATTCAAAGGCATTTTCACAAGGATCTTTTCTTCCATGTGTTCAAAGATTTAACACTCCCAGTCCCTCAATTAAAGGCTGAGAAACCTCCAAAATCCACTTCTTTGAATTCTCTAAGGCAGCTGTCTTCAAACTTCATTGCACCATGACACCCCTTCTGACAACAAAAATTACTTCATGACCCCAGGGACAGGACCAAAGCCTGAGCCCACCCCAGCCTCACTGCCCTGGGCGGGGGGAGGGTTGCCAGGTATTTGGTTTTCAACTGGAATTCCCGGTCAAAAAGGGACCCTGGTGGCTCTGGTCAGCGCTGCTGATTGGGTCATTAAAAGTCCAGTTGGTGCGGGGCTGGCAGGCTCCCTACCTGGCTCCTTGTGGCTCCCCGGAAGCAGCGACATGTCCTTTCTGCTCCTCGGCAAAGAAACGTGCGCTGCCCCCGCCTTGATCACTGGCTCCACAGCTCCCATTGGCGGGGAACTGTGGCCAATGGGAGCTGTGGGGCAGCGTCTGCAGACAGAGGCAGCATGCAGATCTGCCTGGCTGACTTCTTCCTAGGAGCTGAGGGACATGTTGCAGGGAGCCACCCGAGGTAAGCACCGCCCAGATCCAGCACCCCAAAATCCCTCCTGTGTCCCAACCCCTCTCCCTGAGCCCCCTCCCTTACCCAAACTTCCTCCCGGAGCCCACACACACCCCCCATAGCTCAAACCCCACATCCCCTCCCACACTCCGAACCCCTAGGCCTCAGCCTGAAGCCCCCTCCTGTACCTCAAACCCCTTATCCCTGGAGCCCTCACCGCCTCCCACACTCAACCCCCTGCCTCAGCCCAGAGCCCCCTCCTACACGCCAAACCCCTTGGCCCCACCCTCAGCCTGGAGCTCCCTCCTGCACCCCAAACCCCTCATCCCCAGCCCCACCCCAGAGCCTGCACCCCCAGCCGGAGCCCTCACCTCCTCCCGCACCTCAACCCGCTGCCTCAGCTGAATGAAAATGAGCAAGTGAGTGGGGTTGGTGGAGAGCGAGCGACAGATGGAGGGGGGATAGAGTGAGTGGGAGGCAGGGCCACGGGGCAGGGGCGGGGCAAGGGTGTTCAGTTTTGTGCAGTTCAAAAGTTGGCAACCCTAGGAAGGGGGCCAAAGGTGAAGTCCAAGGGCTTCTGCCCTGGGCAGGAGGCATGTAACCTTAGCCCCTCCCTGGCTTCGGCCCTGGGCGGTGGGGCTCAGGCTTTGGCTTCGGCCTTGGCCCCCACAAGTCTAACACCAGCCTTGGCAACCCCATTAAAATGGGGTCGCAACCAACTTTGGGGGCCCGACCCACATTTTGAGAACCCCTCTCTAACGAGATATCCAGAAAAAATCAGGATAAACAAGATATTACTGATATTAAGCTTCTTTTTTTTTTAAAAAAGTAGAATTAAAAAAAAAATCTAATTTCAGGCTGCCTTTAAATATTCTCATATCCATTTCCTTCCCCATCTTTTAATTCCCCTCTAAGCACTCTAGCATTGAAAGATTGATGATTAAGCTGTTTCATGGGATCTTCTGTGACCAGCATCAGTATCTGACACATTAGTGTACAAAATGTTCCTGCAGAGTCATATGCAGCCTTAGCAATTCAATAGCACAGAAACAAACCCAGTCATCAAAAAGTGCCACAGACAATAATTTGCATGTCAGACAAACATACATAGAAACCAATGTAAGGATTTTTAGGGGGCCTATCTGACCAGAAGACTTCGGGGAGCCTTACAGTATACCTCCCACTGGGTCCCGCCTTAAGCCCATCTATCAGAGCTGGAACAAAAGAAACCACCACACTGATGTCAACTGACAACAAGACTTTATTTACTAAAGGAGAGGGAAGGCAGGGGAGGGGGATGAATTAAGGACTCTAGAGATTTGGAATAGAAACACACACATGCACACACACTTGATAAGGCAAAGGTGTTCTTCTACCTTCTTCAGGTGCTGCTGCTGGAGAGGCTGCAGAGTATGGGTCAGCGATGGACACCAACAGTGGATCACAGGTGTAGAAGACAGGTATGTAATCCTATCTCAGACCCCCCCTATCCCTCACTGCATCATCTATGGTTGTAAGTCTGAACTAACTAATCGGACCGAGTCTGCACATGCAGGTCTGTTTCCCAAAAGAAAATAACACACCCCAAAATGACAGTTCTGTTTAGTGAGTGGCTACTGAAAGCCAGTAGCCAGTGTGAAAGGCTGTATCACACCACAGAGAGAGTGTTGGACACCTGAGCCCCTAAAGACTCAAGAGCCCCTGGCCCTTCCCCTCATCTGCCTTTATAGGAACTGGTTGCTTAGCAACAACAGATTCCCGCTCTTTCTACTTTCCTGCCTTTTGCTCAGTGTAGGGGAACAAGAACCTATCACAACATGGAGGTCACCTTGTTCTTATCCCAGACCAAGATGGCCGCCTAATAAACAATACCTTAAAACCCAACTTGGTGTGTGTGCGCCTTTCCCATTAATTTGTCCAGGGCGAAGCTGTGACTAACACTGATGTTTTGTGGATAAGTTAAATCCTCAAAAGGCACCTCACAAATCAAGACTGGGGTTGGTGGAGCTCTTTTGTAACTGAGGGCATTACTCAGCAACAGCTCTTACTACCTGGGAAGGAGAAAGAATAATCAGAAGTGACTCAAACAATATCACCAGAAGTTCCACCTGCGGAAAAAAATGCATGATTTATGACAGCCAATGCAGTCAATAAATCCAGAAGAATATGCATAGATGGGGAAACAGTTACAGCTAACCAAAAAAAAATCAGAAAGTAACCCACAGAAAACTTGGTGCCAAAAGTAATTGACATAGTCATCAAATCAATTTCTGATGGTGCAGAAACTCTAGAAGAGAATCTGCTTCTCTATGCTACAAAACATTTGCATTATACACTTGCCTTAATCCAGATAGTCAGTGCCCAATGTGAGCCTGGTACAATGAGCAGACAGAGATGGTCTAGATCAGTGGTTTTCAAAGCCGATTCGCCGCTTGTTTAGGGAAAGCCCCTGGTGGGCCGGACCATTTTTTTTTTTACCTGCCGCGTCCGCAGGTTCAGTCGATCGCGGCTCCCACTGGCCACAGTTTGCCGCTCCAGGCCAATGGAGGCTGTGGGAAGCGCGATCGGCCGAACCTGCGGACATGGCAGGTAAACGAACTGATCCAGCCCGCCAGGGGCTTTCCCTGAACAAGCGGTGGACCGGATTTGAGAACCACTGGTCTAGATAGTACTTAGTCCTGCCATGAAAGCAGGGGACTGGACTAGATGACCTCTCGGGGTCCCTTCCAGTCCTATGATTCTATGAAGTAAACAGTTAATTTCCTGAGTTTACTTTCCACACATTTGTATCCTAGCTGTGGATGAAATTATTATTTTTGGTAACTGAGCAGATACAGAACTTAATTTAGAGACAGCATTTCCTTGGTATATTTTCGCCCTCTTCCTTCCCCCTCCCACTGCCTGTGACACTAGGGAGATACAACTCTGGGACATTGCAGACCTTTTCATAAAATATTCTTCACAATTATTTATTTTTTAAAAATAGTACAAACCTTATGATTGCAAATGTTCTTTGAAATCTTAGCCTTTCTGTCATTAGCCACAGCAATACCAGTGAATTATTCTTCTGCAGTTCAAACTGCCCAAGGTCATAATAAAGAACATTTCCCACCAAGAAATGTATTGTTTTCACATAACTAAAATAATTTTCAGATGTAAAAGTAAAAAAGGAGTGTGTATTGGTGTATATGACTGAGCAAGAGAGACAGAAGAGAATAATATATGGAGGTATAGTCACAGAGGAATTGAATCATAAATTGACTTTAGTGCTTCTTTACTGTAGCAGAGAACCAGTAGAGTGGGAGCACATTTTGTTTGTTATTCAGATACACTATGACCAGTAGAATAATCCATGCACTGCCAATGTCCAGCTATTTATCTATGGTCTTTCTAATGTTCCTATCACCTTGGTATTGAGATACTGAAAGATCTTTAAAGAAGCAGAATGCTAAGTCTTTGCATTATCAGTGTATGGAGTGTGCATATGTGTGCAACTGGGGAAGTGAGCTTTCTTGTTTTCATTTTAATCAGTCTGGAGATAGTGCTGTACTGTTTATGGTACACTTGGACAATAAGAAAAGCACACAGACTTTCCTAACCCATTCTGTTTCTTGAAGGAAGAGCTAGGTAATTTAGAAATCAGACATTTCTGCACCCAATGGAAATTACAGTCACTTGAGGGTGAGATTGGAGTTTATGGACCAAAAAGCCATTCATTAGTATCATGAACACTTGGCTACTTATTCTTGGAATGAAGGATACTGAAAGGTTAAGCAGGTACCTTTTTCAAAGGCATACCAGAATTAGGGACAGATGTTCTGTGTTAAAAATAAAGGACACAACATCACTGACACTTAAATACAGCATGGACACCAGACAGATTGTCCTAGCCAAGCCGATACTGTTATTCTTCCTAATAATACCCACACACAATGCAGCTCCAGAGTGGGCCACCCTTCACCTCTCCAGCTCAGAGTACCACCCACAAGCTTAAAAATACTATGTACATGTAATAAATCTATGACCACAAACAAGGATCACCACAAGTGCCAGCCAAATTGCACACATCTGACACTGGGGATAGAACTCAGGATCTTCTGCTACAAAAATACAGGCTGGGAATTTTAGTGGGAAGGTTATATCCAAAATCCCAAATGTTACCCCCCCAATTATTGACATTTTCCTTATTTTGATTTCAAGATTTTAGATTGTTTATTTGGGATATCTTATTTATTTGGTTAGCTGATATATTCTGAATCTGGTTAATCAAGGTCACAGAAAATTTGGAAGGGAGCATGTGATTAAAAGAAAATTGCGTCTAAGGAATTTCACAAAAGCATTAAAAAAGCGGGGAGGGAATCCTTGATAAAGTAAAAAGTAAAAAGTAAAGGGAATGCATTGGGATAATTATATCGCAAGAGGAATTTTTAAATCCACAAATTGGTTTGACTAAAATAATGTTATGAATTCACTAATTTACTATTAAAACATAAATTATATTGAAATGACCACTGGTCATGATGTTGAGAATATATGCTAAAGAGTTCAAACTTCCATTCATTCACTACAAATACCTCTTGAGATATCCTGTTTTGTAACTCAATACATCAGGCACTGGAAATATACATCATTGTAACACAATTGGTGAGCAGGATCTCTACATTCTATGCATTCAAAATTTAAATAAAGAGATAAAGAGTAGACTAAGAATTGAGGTAAAAGTATGGGTTAAAGATGTATGAGATCCTAATTTGGAACTGGATCTGTTCAAGATTGATAGTGGTAAAAACAAAACATATTAACACCTTGGAAGATATAGAAGCATTAAGTGGAAGAGACTTTTCCACAAACTTAATGGTGATTGATTTGCAAAGGGGGAGGGGGGGAACTTGCATAACAGGAGAAAGCAAGGCTATCGTAAGAATTTTTCTGAAAAGACTGGTGCCATGTTCAGTATATATAAATAGGTAATGGATATGATGCATGTAAATTAAATAATAATGAGATGATTATTTGACTCGTCTGTTGTTGTATTTTATTTTATTTTTTCACTCATATTTGAAGGCCAGGATTGTCAAAGGTGAGTAGTGATTATGGGGGGCAACATGAGGGGACCTGATTTTCAGAAAGTGCTGAGCATTTGCCCTCCAATAAATCATGCCCTTTTACAAGGTTTCAAACGAACACCAAAAAAACCAGAGGCACTCCAAATTACTAGTCATTTTTGAAACTCTTTGCCTAGTTTATTTTGGACATCCAAGGAAGACGTGCAAAAGAGTGCTTACGGTAAAAACAAACAAAAAGTTCTTCCGAACTTTAATGCTTTTTAAAGGAGAATTTCCCCTCCTTACACAACAGCATAATAAAAAATAATAATCAGTTCATATTATAAGTTTCAGGGTTACAGCCGTGTTAGTCTGTATTTGCAAAAAGAAAAGGAGTACTTGTGGCACCTTAGAGACTAACCAATTTATTTGAGCATAAGCTTTCATGAGCTACAGCTCACTTCATCAGATACATACTGTGGAAAATAGAGAAGATGTTTTTATACACACAAACCATGAAAAAATGGGTGTTTATCACTACAAAAGGTTTTCTCTCCCCCCACCCTACTCTCCTGCTGGTAATAGCTTATCTAAAGTGATCACTCTCCTTACAATGTATATGATAATCAAGGTGGGCCATTTCCAGCACAAATCCAGGGTTTAACAAGAACGTCTGAGGAACAGTGGGGGGGGGGGAACAAACAAGGGGAAATAGGTTACCTTTTATAATGACTCAACCATTCCCAGTCTCTATTCAAGCCTAAGTTAATTGTATCCAATTTGCAAATTAATTTCAATTCAGCAGTCTCTTGTTGGAGTCTGTTTTCGAAGTTTTTTTGTTGAAGGATAGTCACTTTGAGATCAGAAATTGAGTGACCAGAGATTACCAGCAGGAGAGTAGGGTGGGGGGGAGAGAAAACCTTTTGTAGTGATAAACACCCATTTTTTCATGGTTTGTGTGTATAAAAACATCTTCTCTATTTTCCACAGTATGTATCTGATGAAGTGAGCTGTAGCTCATGAAAGCTTATGCTCAAATAAATTGGTTAGTCTCTAAGGTGCCACAAGTACTCCTTTTCATATTATAAGCTCTTCCATAATATTTCATTTTTAGAGAAGACTTTTGAAAACTTATTTAGGAAAGTGCAAAATGTAAAACTCCACAATGTTTGTTTTGCTCCAACCAAACAGTAGTGAACAATGTTTAAATGAAATGTAATTACCTTGTACCTCCTCCCTGCAGGACTTTTTCCAGTTATGTAACCCCATTCCTTTCCCTTGACACAGCCTCATATCACCAGACTCAAAAATTAGGTAGTAACAAATCTTCTACATAAACTTAAGTAAAACTCAGTGATTTTGCAGTGAGAGCAGAGAGCTTCACCATCCACCACAATTCGCTTTCCTGCCAACAGGATCATGTTCTCTTCTTAGCAATACATGTCTTGAGTTAAGGCTGGAGTAATCTGCTACTCACATTTCCCTCCTGATGTCTTCATTGGGTAGCTAACTAGCCCACTCCCTCTTTGGCATTTTAGGTTCCAGAATGTAGGCAGCTCCCCCTACATTTCATTCATGTCTTTGTGGACTCTGCTGGCTTGCACACCTTTATGCTGCTCTGTTGCAACAGGGCCATGAAAACTTCCTGTGATCCAGCTCTTGCTACTTATCCAGTCCCTTTACCACACTTTGGAACT